GGCATAATGTCACTTTGGAAGGCAGCAATCAATAAATGAGTGTTATGTACGATTGAACTAATAATGACTATCGATTCGGGTTCTATTTACATTTGAAATCGAGGTAATTTTGCACTTATCATGCGATGGTTTTTTTTTCGAAAAATTTTTTTGGTACTTACGTATTTTTGTCTGAAAAACACGAATTTGATAATGAAAATGTGAACAAACCATTATTTATTGAGATATTTCACTATAAAGTTACAAATTTCACCATCTTTTCCGCCTGTCTTCTGGATCACATTTAGAACAATTTGCCCTTCTTTTCCCATCATTGGACAATTTATATACAGGGTGGCCCACGGTCGATGGTACCTTAGACGTATACGGAAAACGGTACATTGGATTATCCTGAAAATTTGGTTACTCTAATAAGCGTTTGTGACTTGTTTGTGATCTAACGATTCAAAATATTTTCAGCGATGCAGCGTTGCCACTTTTACCAAAAAGTAGCATCATCTTTGTTATTTCAAATGGAGCACCCTGTATTTTATTGCGTTTTTAGATTCTTCTCGAAGAGATAGTAGAATCATTGCTCGAATCATCAAATCTTATCTCTCATTTTACTGCACTTAGCTGTTGTAGAAAAAACTTTGAGCTCGCACTCACAATTCATTCTAAAACAACCTCAAATAAAGTTCTTCAGAATATTTTCTAGATGCTGAGAAATATTCATATTATCTTCAGTGTATATTATGAGGATACTCTCAGCATACCTTGGAAAATGAATATTTCCAGAATCAAGTATACAATCCTCAACTCTCAAGTTTAACCGGTAGATGAACTAACTCAACCAACAGGTAGATTCCTGACTATTTTATTTCATCATTATTTCCTTTGTTCCAGGTTCTTATGCAGTGCAGTGCCTATGAGACCTCTAGTACCGTTATATCAAAAATATTTGGAAATTTTTTCAATCTACTTTTAAATTATGAAATAGTCGACACGATAATTCGATTATTAGAATATTGTTACTATGTATAATTCATAATATAAAATATGTAATTTTCCTTTACTTTTTATTTTATGTTGCCAGTTACCTTAACAAAATATAACAATAAGATTACATTCGTTCATTGAGTATGAAATGTTACTTTACTTCATACACAATGTTACAATAACTCTGCTGGAATGATTCATTTGCGAACATTACATTCATAATATTGCTGAACGTCCGTTTCAGTAGTTGCTGCGACCTTGCAGTAAGATAGCGACAATATCTGATGTAACATTACACATAACATTGAAATATTGCTGCAATATTGTTGAGATATTACTTTGCTTAGTGGGGACCGTGGGCCACCCTGTATATATCACACATTTTTTTTATTATATGAGTCAACTAGAAATATGATTTTCTTGTGATTTATCCATGTTTAGTGAAAAGAAGGAAGAATAGCATTTGAAATAATGGCGTGTGTAATGTCATTCCAAAGCAATCTATTGACATTTGACATCTCGTATTTGGATTGCATATGGATTAAATGCAATAAAAATCATATTTCCTGTTGAATTTTCTATCTTAAAATTTGTCAGTGAAGCATATCATGAGTATATATAAAGTGTCCAATGACAAAATAATAAGAACCTGTAAATGCATCCAACACAAGGGGGAAAAGAAGGCAAAATTTCGAACTTTTTCTTGAAATATCTCGATAAATAGTGGTTTGTTCACATTTTCATTATTAAATTCGTGTTTTTCAGACAAAAATAAGTAAGTACCAAAAAAAATTTTTGAAAAAAAAAACATCGCATGATAAGTGCAAAATCACCGAAATCGATGCTAGATTCGCAATTTTCCGCAATGGGAATGGTCATTACCTTTTGATACTGCTTTCCTAGGTATCATATAGCGGGGTAAGCGGTTTCTTTGCAAATTATAAAGGAAATGACGTCTATGAACTCCGCTGACCTGATCGAAACTACAACTACCTTCTGAATGTTTTAATTTGGAAAAGTTAATCAATGAAAAAAGATCTTGAAATGAACGAGAGTTTAAGGGATGTTAATTCATAGGCATTTCTACTTCTTGACAATAACAATGTTTGAATTACTGTAACATGCCCATTCACAATTATGGTTCATAGTTCATGTGTATTCCAAAATGTTGACCAAATTTTAGATAGTTTGTTAGCAATAGCATTAATCGTAAAATCTAGCTGACCATATCGAAAACGCAACTATATGGTTCCGTTGCTCAGTCTAGACTTGGTTAAGCGATCGAACAACAACTTTCAGACGAGCGTACCACTTGAAACGATCCGTACCGTACCAGATAGATATTATAGTAACCTACTTCTCGATGGAGTACTTTTACTGACTCTTACATCTACAAGGACGTCCTTGCTAAGCGGCCTGAATAACTGCAACCTGCCAGTAACACACCAATAACAAAGTGTTTTGATGTAAGCGGATATTGTTGATTTTTTTCAATCTTCCGCGATTTGTTACAGGTCTGGACCACAACATAATTCACAAAGATGAAGAAGGAATTGAAATATGTAGAAAGAACATGATATTTCGTAATTGGTAGTGGAGTAGTGATTTAGATGGTGCACCGAAAGGAAAACAATTATAGCTACTGGTACCCGCCAGAACACAGAACCAGAAACGAATTAAAATATGTTTAAAATTGAGTTATTTTTTTCAACCTCTCAAATCAACCTTGGCGACTGTAGTAGGATATCACATAACTATATAGTCTGGAAAGTTAGGTAGGTACCTACATATTTGCACGAAATACACTTTCCAACGAGGTATGCACAATATTTTTCCTACGACCATAAATATATATACCTAATTTGAAACAAAAATACGAATTTAAAACATTCAATTTATTGTTCTTAATATAACTTTTGTTATATGTCTTCAATCTATATTAAAATTAATCCTTCTCCTTATTAGGTGAATAAATGATTATTTATTTCCAAAAAATAAAATTTGAAAGTGATTTGGTGCTGAAATTATTTTTTTTTCTGTGACGGGAAAAAAGTTTGACATTTCATCACTCTTGGTAGGTTATAAAATGTCACTTTTCATAATTACTTTTTTTGTGTGGGAAAAAAGTGAGTATTTTTTTCCGGGTATATACACTGCACTATTGATGGGTTCTGTTGTGCCAGTTCCGAAAAATAAGCCAATGAGACCGTCTCCAAGAAAGAACTGCAAGTATTTTCATCTTCCATTCCACTTTGCGGTTACGTGAATTACTAAACAACTAGGTACTATAAATTCGCAATTTTTCAAAATCAGATCACAGAATTAGACTGACAGATATTTACGAAGGCGCTGAAGGGCCACCTATACTTTATTCTCGGGATCCCGACTTTAAATTCGGACCTTCGACTTTTAATCTCGGGATCCAGAGTTTAATCTCGGGATCCAGAGTTTAATCAAAGAGGTGACTAACCTATATTCTTTGGTTTAATCTCGGGATCCCGACTTCAAAGTCGGACCCCCGACTTTATTCTCGGGATACCGACTTTAAAGTCGGGGGTCCCACCTGTACAGGATGTCTTTTTATATTTTGATCCTTTATTCCTACATCTTCAACAATACGAAGTGGTGAAAACTCCAAATATAAAAGTTGTTGGGTTCCATCTGTCTTTACCGCACTCGACTGCTTTTCGTCAACGGCAGTCACGTGCGGGAAAATATCACTTTCCGAACTTGTTAGGAAAAGTCTTCAGCACTGGTGTAAAAGGGCACACTGAAGATTGAATATAGAAAAAAAAATGCCAAAATAATCTGGATGTATGACAAACTGATATTCTCAATGAAAATCAAAACTCAAAGTCAAAGTTCCTTTGCAATTTTGCCAAATCAGATTGATACAAGGATTGATATTATAATGATCCAGCATAATTAAAAAAAAAAACAAAAAACGTATCGCCCAACGTGGGGCTCGAACCCACGACCCTGAGATTAAGAGTCTCATGCTCTACCGACTGAGCTAGCCGGGCTTGGTTAATCTAGCGGAATGGCAGGTATTTCAATTTGTCCATTTCTATCTATGATCTTTTGAATGGCAAAATAAGAAAAAAGGGAAGTATTTCAATTTTTCGAGGTAATACCTAGATAGTATTAAGGAATTCCGAAAATTTATTGCCCAAATAATCAATTCTACCAACCTTGCTCTAACTACAGGCTCTAACTTTCAGCGGCTGCCATCTCGTAATATTATACCGAAGTTAATTCTGATTGCAGGCGTAGAAAATATAAAATACTGTTATTCACTCTACCAAAACAGAAAACTGTTTAATACAAGTTATAAAAGTGCTTTCACGTCCGACAGTGTCAGGTGTCACTCTGCCTTTCTGTCACTGTCACTAGTGTCACAGTCACTGGCCATTTAAGGAGAAAATTAAAAGGCTTTTGACATGAGACATGATGACTTGATGACATGATTGACATGAAGTATGTATTGAACAAGTTCATCCGAAGTTTGTTGATTGTAAATTGTAAATTGTAAATGGTTGTTGGTTTTCGGTTGTATGGTTCTTGTTTGTTTGTTGTTTGTTATTCTTCAATCTTCAGTGCTTCAGTGATTACTGATTAGTGCTACGGCGTAAGACATTCAAATTAACTTGAGGTGCATGAAATATAAGTACCTACAATCAATTAGTGTATCAGTGATTTAACACCTTTTTGTGTAAGTATTTTTACTCAATAAATACTTGCTTTTTGCTTTTCAGTGGAATTAGTGGAATCTATCCTAGTTATTCGTTTTTTCCGCAGTTTTATCAAAGTAGGTAATTAGACATGTTTTACATTTTGAGTTTGGCCTTGCCCTTGCAGGTTATATAAATATATGATGATCCTTTTCTATTACAGAAATCCTGTCAAAAATAATATTAGTTCATCAAATAATTATAATAATTGGTCGTTCCGCGATTCGTTTCTATTGTGTCGTCGATTGTGTCACCATGGAAGTTGGAAATTTATCAGTATAACAGTACAATCCTCTATGAGTCTTTTTGTTGTTATGTACACCTATGAACAATACAGAAAATGTAATGAGATGAGAATGATTAATGTGGTAGAAATTCAACCAGTGTACAGGGCCGTCTTTAATCTACTGGGGGCCCTAGACACACTATGAAAATTGAGGCCCCTCGGTTCCCGTAGACAAAAAAGTAGATAAGCAGGTAATGCTGGGTTTATAGATTCAATTAAACTAACAATTAGGAATTAACAATTAACAATCAACAATTAATTATCATGAGGGTGTTTATACCTCGGTTTATACATATCTGATAATAATTACAAATTAGATGTGAAATGTCCTTTGATTGTAGATCAATATGATGTTAAAAAGTAATTTTGGTCTCCACAATTCATGAATCCATAAAAAATACTCCAATTGAATATCACCACACTCCACTTGAACAATAACAAATCCCATCTTCATGTTCTGTCTCCAGAATTTCCTAATTCTTAGTTGTTAAGTTGAAAGTTGGCCAACTTTGTAATTCATAATTCTTAATTTAATTGACAGATGTAAATGTATAAACCCTCATAGATGTTTCCATGTATTCAACTTTTCAAGTTCATAGTTGTTAGTTTAATTCTTAGTTTAGTTGAATCTATAAACCCAGCATAAAAGTTCATTTATCATGTGATGTTTTTTTTGGTAATTTTGCACTTATCATGCGATGGTCTTTTTTTCGAAAAATTTTTTTGGTACTTACGTATTTTTGTCTGAGAAACACGAATTTGATAATGAAAATGTGAACAAACCACTATTTATCGAGATATTTCAAGAAAAATTTCGAAATTTTGCCTTCTTTTCCCCCTTGTGTTGGATGCATTTACAGGTACTTGCTCTTATTATTTTGTCATTGGACACTTTATATACTCATGTCTCATGATGTACTTCATTGACACATTTTAAGATAGAAAATTCAACAGGAAATATGATTTTTATGGCGAGTTTTTCCTATTTAGTGAGCAAGCATACCAGATGACGGCCATTTAATCTAGAGTCCCTGTATATACCTTAAACAAGAGTCCGGAGTCCGGACACAAAACTGACAGCCGTTGGGGTTTTTAATATTCTGTTTCATTTGGTTTGCCCATCTGGCAATGTGACGAAACACCATAGTCGTCCCGCCCGCTTTTTTTAATTATTTCGAATTTCTGTCACTGTCACTATGAAATTTTATTACTGCCAAAATTTATCATTTTAAATTATTTCAATGTCTTGCTGTGTACATTATCGCGATAATTCATTGGAAAAAGGATTCAAGCTATTCAATTTTCCGAATGATCCTTTAAAGATAATGTCATGGAAGAATGCAATGAAACGTCCAGAATGGAAAATTAATTTCAAGAAATCCGCAATATGTGAGGTTAATATCCAAATTTACTTGTAAAAACAGTACAAAAAAGATAAATTTTAGGCCCATTTTGATAGAGATTATTTCGAGCTGATGGATTTTAAATTGAAAGAGTCTGCTGTGCCGTCAATTTATAAAATAGAGACGTTCAAAAAAAAAAGTTCCGTCGTCATCGTATTGGGAATTACTGAATGATATGATCGCAGAGAAAAAAAATGAGAATGAGATGATGCGGAAAGCAATTGAAAGTTTGAAATCAAAATTAGAAGATTTAGAGAAATTGCAATGTGCTATGTCATCAGTCCACGGTGTTTTTAATTCAGATCAAATTCAAAATTTACAGGTGAATGTAGACTGCAGGAAGAGGTGGGAAACCGACACAATTAAAATTATATTGAAACAATTATATATCTTCTATTTTTTTATATTCCAACAGAAAACAACTATATTTTCTTGACTATATGTGATACCACGTGGAACACTTAAATAATCCTTCTTCTTATATCTAATGAAGTGAAGAAATATCTGATGACGAAAATTTGCAATAGCCATCTCAGGAATTGATTATGAAAATTATCGATTCGAAATTTGAACACCCTGTTGTTCATTATTTGAAAATCTAATAGTTATTCTAGTTAAAATAGCTATATTTCTCACTTCTACCTACGGCTATGAACAGTTTGACAAATAATCTAACCCTTAAAATTGTTTCTGACAATCTTTGATACTAGGGGAATTGAAAAGACAGAGCTCGATATATATGTCTTATTCCTTTATTCAATCAACAATGCATTTTCTGAAAACAGAAAAGGACAGAAGTATAGCTGTGTCCGGACTCTTGTCTAAGGTATATACAGGGACTCTAATTTAATCCATATGCAATCCAAATACGAGATGTCAAATGTCAATAGATTACTTTGGAATGACATTACACACGCCATATTTCAAATGATATTCTTCCTTCTTTTCACTATCATGGATAAATCACAAGAAAATCATATTTCTAGTTAACTCATATAATAAAAAAAATGTGTCCAACATTGTGTGATATATATAAATTGTCCAATGATGGAAAAAGAAGAGCAAATTTTTCTAAATGTGATCCAGAAGACAGGCGGAAAAGATCTCGGAAAAGATGGTGAAATTTGTAACTTTATAGTGAAATATCTTAATAAATAATGGTTTGTTCACATTTTCATTATCAAATTCGTGTTTTTCAGACAAAAATACGTATGTACCAAAAAAAATTTTCGAAAAAAAACCCATCGCATGATAAGTGCAAAATTACCAGAGTTAGTCTGACAAAACAATTGAAGAGTGAGCCAGAGTGAGCCCACCAGTTAAATCTCTATACATCTCTGTTTCAACGATCTTAGATAATAGATGGCAACATTTCACAATTATGACATATGTCAATTTTGAATTTGGTGCAGGTTTTTTATCTTTTGAGTGAAATAAACCCACTTTTACATACAGTGTGTCTCACTTTTAATGGAAACACCCCTGTATCTTACGTATTCGTTGGGTAAGGATCCCGAAATTCGCTGGGAGCGGTAGATATACCAAAAATGCACTCTATGTCCAAGTAGAGTAATCTTCAGTGATATACACTGCTCGCCAACAGCCATGGAACCACCCTAATTTCTGGAAAATGATATAAGGAGTGGAAATAGGTTGAGAATCACTTCTGACTCGGAATCAGGACGCCCAATTAACGACACACAAATATTCATAATTTCCCTAGAAAAAATTCAGCTCTGAAAATTTCATTTTTCATAGAAACACCCCCGTATCTTATATATTTATCGAGTTACGATTGTTAAATATCCAGGAGCAAGAAATATTTCGAAGATACAGTCAATTACCAATTGAAATTACTATCAGTGATAAACAATGCTCGCAGTTTTTATGTAAGCACCCCAGTATCTCACGTAATTATTGATGTAGGAGTCTGAAATTTTTAGGAGCAATCAAGACACCTATGATCAAGTAGGATCATCTTCAATGATACACTGCTCGCAAGCAGCCACAGAACCACCGACATTCTAGGAGGAAAAATGTATTAAATCGGAAAATTCACCTAATGGTAGTTCTAAAATTGATAATCATTAGGTCAGTTCTCATCGGGGATAATGAAATAACAATCAGAACTAGTACAATCGAATGGGTTATCAGGAGTGATCCAATGGATCAGAAATCATGACGAATGTCATTGAAATCAATTATAAATGAATGAACTCGGATAGTATGAAGAAAATCGTTAGTGATAATGATAATGATTCCGAATCCGAATTGATTTTCAACATATCTTGTCTCTTGATATTATTTTCCGGAATTGTCTGTAGTTCCACGGTTGTTGAGATGAAGGGGTGTTTCCATTAGAAGTGAGACACACTGTATGTTCCGTGAACCTAAAATGTCATTTTCCATTTTATTTTCACTCCTCACACTCGTCACAGCAGCAATAGCGTCTCGCTCGATGTGGCGTAGAGAAATGTAAAAATGGCCGAGTACGCGCACCATCTAATTATTTCTATCATTATTTTCTCTATCTCCCATTTGGCCATGTGACACTCCTCATGAATCACCCTGTATACATGAAAACCTTTATTGGACAGATTATTGCTCGGTTATCTCGTGGTGTGACTCTGATTGTGTGACCCCTATGTGTTTATCTCAATAAAATGAAGAAATGTTATGAAAAAAAAAAGAAAAAACGGAATGAAATGTACCTATGGAAGAGACGTGAATAATAAAGAAGACATTGAACTCACATGGAAGAATCATTAAACCATAGTGCGCAGTTGATTTTTTTGAGTTCACTGATGTGCTCTTTACCTGTCTCAGATTCGAATATGTTAGATTCATTGGGTTTGGTAAGAATGAAGTACGGTCATTCATAACTCATGTAAATTCCTGACAGTTCTAGCAAACTATAAAACCATTTCCAGATGCGGAGGAATCAAGAATGAAATCAGAGAATTACTGGTCTTTGAAGAGGGATTTGCCTCTGGATTTGCATAGTGGATGAGCTCTTGAGCCATGACCATGTATACTAAGTTTTTCCACCACTAGCTATACAGTGATTTTCTGTAATGCCCCCCTCTTCATTTTTTGAACGGGTCGACGCATAAAATTTGAACTTGGGGTAATGAAATTGATGCATGAATAGTATACAGGGTGTCCGTTAAAAGGAGGTCAATTCATCAACCATATATTCCTTGAACCGAGCCTTGAACAAAAACAATATGAGTTTCTAAATACCATTTCTCATTTTAGCCCTCCATATTCGATATACAGGGTGTCAAAGTTGGAAATCAAAAACTGTTCTTCTTCAATTACTCGCGTATTTGATAAGATATCAATTTCAAAATCGGTACATCACTTCAGCACAAAGAGTTACATCGTGTGAGGAGAACAGAACAAAAAATAACTGTCAAATATTCAAAATACTGGGGGTCAAGTACACACTTACCCCCATATTTTTTTGTAGGTGCGCTAATGACTTCCTATCTATTTTCCTTCGAATGTTCGATAATTTTTGAGTACTTTTTGTCTCCTGTAAAATTTCGATAAAATCATTTGTTTTTAAGATAATACGAAGAGTACTGGTTATTGTTTGATGCCTATGCGGCTTACGGTAGTCTCATAATGTTCACATACTCCTATTTATTTCCTCGAAATTTTAAGAGGGCGTAACTTTTCACGTACGAAAAGGTAAATATGGACATACCGGGATCTTAAAAACAAATGATTTTATCGAAATTTTACAAGAGACAAACATGATTGAACACTTGAAGAAAAATAAA